GCGAATTGTGCAGAAGGCCACCCTAAGGCTCGGAAAGGTCCTATAGGAATCCATTTTGGGTTTCCTCATGTCGGTTTCATCCTTCTAAGTGTTAGAAGTCGATACCGCACACGCGAAACTCCAAAAGAGGACGGAAATATGTTGAACTAAAACGAGGCGGGCACCACTTCTAAGGTTCTAAGATAGTCGCAGGAAGACCCCTAAGGCTAGATCCTAACTCCTACGAGGAATACTAGACCTTACTAAAAATGAGGTCAACAATGTAATGTGCGCTGCATCATCATTCGTTTCAAATAAGCATCAAATGCTTTTAGGCTTTTCATTGATTGTCTCCAAGTTTCTAAAGGGATCTTGAATTAGAAATTTGGAAACCTCATTCCTAGATAAATCAGAGTTTTCTCTTTCAATTCTAGCAAAATACAGGACGGTTGAAGAGCCAAAGTTGTACCAATGCTTATTAGGTGGATAAAAGAATCCCTACTTCTAGGTGGGACTTTGAACCTTTTCGTCGTCTATTACAGATGACTAAATGTTAGTTAAGATAATAAATTATAAAGTTACATGATTTGTGCATGTATATCAAAGGATAGAAATTGCATTAACATGAAGGATTGAGATTTGGGAATTTTGAAACCCTTATTCCCAGATAAATCATAATGTTTTCTTGATAAGTCGAGCAAAGTGCAAGAATGTTAAAAAGCCAAATTTGCCCTAAGGTCTCTTTTGTGGCTGAAGGAATTCCTGCTCCATATTTCTGAATCCTTTCCTTCATGTCTTTTTGAGGACTAGAAGGGTGGATGAGATAAAGAGGAAATGAAATTGCATGACTTATGCAAATATATCAAATGGTAGAAGATGCACCAATAAAAACAGTGGAGAAATTGAGATGGGCTGGGAAGAAAAGGGGGTAAATAGAATGGATAATGATTATGTACAAAGTTTCATGCAAAGTAAGTTTAACTTAGTATGAAACAGTCGAATAAAATGAATGAAGAATGTGGATTTTTAAAGCCAACCCCATTGGATAAAGCTAATGATAATGATAATGAACTTTTCTATTTTTATTATTATTGAGAATATGCATTAGCGTATGCATGATTCTAAATCAATGATGATTAACTAGTTTTGACTGCATATGAAAGGAATTTCATTATGACTTCCAAATGTAAAAGCACTTGCATTTTTTATAATACACCATTCTATCCCTACTAAGGCGTCTTAAGAACAACAGACTTATCATGGCCTGTGTTGTAATTTATTTTGGTTATGCCTGGTCGTCTATCAAGTTCAATAAAATTTTTAAAGTATAGATTGTGTTAGTGGTTTACTAATCTTGTAAAACAACTTGAATAACTGTTGAAATTGTCCAGTGAGCTGTTTTAAAATGTTAATTTACTCAAGGCTAAGCTATTGAATGTTGTGCTACCATTAAGTCAGCATAACTAACTTATTATTGATAATATTAGCAAATTTTGAACAAAAATAGGGCAAAATTAAAATAAATTTGATGTGCTAGGAGGTGTTCTATCTATGGTAAGGGATAGTACATGAAAATTAAATGCTAGATAAATTAAGCTTTGTGAAGCCATTCTAAATAAGGCATGATGAAGCCTTACAATGCCAATCAAAGCAAATAAGATTTGCCAAACGAAGTTAATTTAAACTAAGCTAAGCAAAGAGATCATATCAAGCCATGCCTTACATAGCCAAGCCTTATCTATACTCCCAAGTCATGTTAAGCCTTGCTAAGTTAAAGTATGCTAAGTTATCAAAGATCATAACGTTTTATAACCTATAATAAGGTACTTTGAAACATGCTATGTTATATCATATTACATTATGTTATGGTGTCTTATATTATACTCGTCTATAATATTATTTAATATCTTATATTAGAACATATAACATGCCACTTAGAGAGCAACAATGATCTATGAATTCGGTTTGATGAACAAACAACACATTTTTTAACGTAAAACTACCTTCCTAACTTGAGAAGACATTTTATAGCTCACACACACACACACAGTGTTGTTATGCATTCAGACAAATTTTATTTTCTCAGAATTCAAATCACAATTTTTATAATTTTCAATATTACAGGTAGCACAATAATAGATGATTTTGTTAAGTGAGGTTGTGACGTGTCATGATATATATTAACGTATTTCAACATGCTATAATATATCATATCACAATCTATTATGGTGCTCTATTTTATATAATATTATAATATAGATTTGGAGGTAGAACCTCTTTTTTGATTAAAAATATATATATATATTCGCCAAAATAAAAATTTCATTGATGGGAGAAGATACAAAAGTTTTAGTGAGCAGGTTGTCACCTCCCAAAAGAGCTCTTAAGAGAGGTGGGCAGCCCAGGACTTAAATATTGTTTTTCGGCCCTACACCTAGCCGATGTGGGTATATTTGTCCGTGACATTCTTCTCCACCCAATTACGTGACGCCCTCGTCGTGGATTGGCTCCGCTGAGGGTCCCACTGGACCATGGAGAGTCCACACACCTGGCAGACAATAATCTGTTATGATACCACTTGTCACCCCCCAAAAGAGCTCTTAGGGGTGGTGGGCAACCTAGGACTTAAATACTCCTTTTCGGCTCTACACCTAACCGATGTGGGACTATTTGTCCTTGACAAGTTGCTAGGAACCCACTCACAAGACATACAAGGCTCAAAAATAACCAAAATGTACAATTATACCCCGAAACGGCTAGAGACAATTTCCACAAAAAGATAAAAATGATATGCGGGCTACTCGGGAGGAGCGCAATTCCACCAGAGAGCTTAATTATGATGAGTGAACTTTCCTCTCTCCCTATATCTATAGAGGGAGTCGAGCACCAAACAGTGATGGGGGCTTCCAACCGAAATGAGCAAAGCATCCTCCTATAAATTCCTTTGTTCTTTTAGTCTTTTTTTTCTTCCTGTTTTTGTAAACTTGCCAATTATCTTCCAAGGGTTCCAACTTATCTCTGAGTTGATCATCAATGAGAGCAATTTCTACCCGTTGATCACCTTAAACTTGGCACTCTGTCAGGGTTTGAAGGCTATCAACATCAGCAATAATTGTTTCCATTAGCATATGGAGCATCACCAGGCTCCAAAATGAGATTATCCTCATTTTCAACAACATGAGGGTGCTCATCTGGGAAAAAATTAGTGGCAATATCCTCTCTACTTGCGGTTTCCACCATATCAGCCAGTGGAATAGGTGCTCCTTGAGTAGTTAGGTGAGGCACTTCAGGTTGGGGTAAAATATGTTGCATTTTTCAAGTGTGTCCAAACATCTTACAATGGGTGCTATAGTATGGTCTTTGTTCCATGACAATATGTTGTCAGTACTCATTATGTGTAGTGTCAAGCCAAACTTTTTCAATGTCAGGTAAAATGATATCTCTCTCCACCAGGATTCTAATAACAGAATGTTTGGTGAGATTAAAAGTGGGTATGTCTGATTTCATTGGTCTCCCAAGGATGACCCCAATGGAATAAATGACATAATGGTTGAAAAGATGCAACTTAAGCCCATGTAACTTAAACCATATAGGTATTGTAGGTGATTCTTGGTTTGGATCAAATTCAGGAGACTACTTGAATAACTTTATAGTTATTCCTTCAATGGTGAGGTATTTCATGGAGAAAATCCTAGCATAATTCGTCCATAGTCAAATGTATCATCACGTCTCCCATCTAATAGACCCACCTTCCATTGTCCTTACAAGTTTGAAATCCTCAAAAGCTTTGCAAGTAACCTCCATTTTGGGATACCCCAACTGAAACTTTTTAATGAGAGTTAATTTGTATTTTTCAACCAGAGTAGAGACTTCGAAGTCTGTAAAGATAAAAGCAGCCTTACCACCCTTCCTATAAACCCTCTTAACAAACGAACGGTCGGCTATCCCTTCAAGAGAATCATGATAGATCTGAGGAAACACTACATGGTCGACAACCTTCTCAGAGTCTAGACCCTTATCAAGCACCTCAACGAAGGATTCTTTACGTAGGGGAGCTGCGACACAATCCCTTTTCTGTCTTCTTCGAGCACGACTAGACGAGCTACGACCCTTCCAATCTTCTTCGAGCACAAGAAAGAGGGAAGGATCTTCATCGCAAGGCCATCCCCTTGTGTGATTCTGACAATTGAGCATGCAAAGCGGACAATTCCCGTGTGAAGCTTCTTGTTCTTGTTCGACATCTGTGTGTGTGTGTATGTGTCTATATATATATATATATATGTATATGTCTATGTATATACATATATATATTTTATTGAAAAGAAATGGCCAGAGTCTTTTAGACGAGCCCCACCATTGGTGTTGCATATCGAAGCTTGTCGTGAATTCAGATAAATTCTATCATTTTTGTCTTCAAATCATCATTTTTATGATTTTTAGTGCCATCGTAATTGAAAACAATATACTAAGGCCGTAATGCGTCATAAGATGCAATAACATAGCACAACATGCTATAATATATTATATTACAAACTACTATGGTGTTTGTAACTTTAAAAATCATAAAAATGGAGATTTAAAGGCAGAGATGGAATTTGGTCAAAGCTACGGTGGTGGTAATTATAATGTGGAGGTAGTTATAATATGCCATTTTTAGTAAAAAAAGGAGGGTGTTCACAAAAAACTAAAAAAGAAAATAAATAAATAAACAAATGCAATGATGAAAAATGCTTGGCCTGTACTTAAATCTCTAGAGATTTTTGATAGTTTTGGAGATACTTTTTCTTGCAGTCGAAACTAGTTATGTTACTAATTTTTTTTTGCTTTTTAGTTTCTTACATTTTGTCGTTTCTGATTCAAACAGGCCCATGTAGAAGCTGACACCTTCTTTTGTTTTGTGGAGCTTTTGAGTGGATTTAGAGATAATTTTTGCAAGCAACTTGATAACAGTGTTGTTGGTATTCGGTCTACTATTGCAAAGTTATCGCAGCTTTTAAAGAAACATGATGAAGAGCTTTGGCGTCATCTTGAGGTTACCACAAAAGTAAGAAAAAAATTTTAAATTGTTAAGTCTTGAAAATTATGGTTTTGGAAGGTTACGCTTGTTGCAACTAAGTGGTGCTTGTATAACTCATCGATGTGATTATAATATGTTGTCCAAATTATGTTTTTTTTTCTTCTTTTAAAGGGAAGTCATCCTTCCAAGGCGCGTGCCATTATATTAACGCTTCACTCTCAGAAGGAGCTGACATGTAAAATGAGATACTCTCAACTCCCATGGGAATTTGTTTTTTTTTTTGTTAGACGAAGCCTTGACAAAATTTTGGAAGTGAGCACAGAATAGATGAAATCCCATCTTATTTGTGGATCTCTTTATGGATTGAAGCATTGCATCATCTTTATTCATGTCAAATCTTACTAAGCTACTAGTATGCATGTGTCCAACTTTTGTTAAGAAGTTCATTTTCAGTTTGAAACTTTGTATTCTGTTTTGGCTATTTATTAAACTGTTTTACTTTTAAGCGTTGCTTTTTGGGATGGTTTTAAGTTTAAGTTTTTGCTTGGTATGTTGACTTAAATTTTTTTGCGTGTATATTGTCTACTTCCATGTTGGTTCCATGTCTGTACTTGCTTTTCAAAGTTGCTGTCTGATAACGGTCCAAGTAATGATTGATAGCGAGTCGTCGTTTTGCTTATGCAAAACCTATCAGCCTTGTAAATATGATGAACTTACATGAGGGAGAGTTGTCTTGTTCCATAAAGACAAATCAAACAGTTTTGGCATACAAAATGGTTGATTCGTGCAGAACAAAAACAACTAAAATATTCTAAATTTCGTAATAGCATAGTAGCATTAGACATTAGATATTTGTTGTGCATGTTGATCCTTCATTTGGAGAGGGAGCTAAAGAAACAGTGAACTGTGCTAGTTTTTATTTTATTTTATTTTATTTTTTATTTTTTTATTTTCCTCCCGATACATATGAAGAATCTGACATGTGAGAAGGACCGAGAAGATAAGACAAATCATGTTTAGATTTATCGAACGAAGAATTAAAAGGAAGGCATGAAATATATATGAAAAAAGCAAGAGGACATTCTAAAAGGGAGAACCTATCCCTGGATAGGAAACTAAAAGAAAAAAGCTTTCTTTATTCATCTTTAAGGCTAATTAAATTTTAGATGATGGAACCTATTAAGAGAAATGAGTTTTATTGAAATTGATCAAACTACCCTTAAACAATATAAAAATATTAATTTAGGCCTAAATAACAAATAACATCTAAACAGCTGGCAGTTAACTTTAATACAAATAAGGATGGTTTCATGATACATTATATGATATACTAAAACACGGGCTGGCACTTCATCGATTCCCATCTATTACAGAAAATTGAAAAAAAAAAATCTTGGATGGAATAATTGATCCCCACTTTGGACATCAAAGGCAATACTACTACTCGATCTTGTGATTGGAGAGTTAAAATTTTGCTTGAGGATTGGAGGTCATAGATTGTGTTATAGAGCTTGTGAAATTCATCGAAAAAAGAAAGATGGATGGGAAATCCAACGTATAGACGTGTTTAAAAGGGGAATAACACCATTGCTAATAATATTGGTAGAAAACTATCTTTATCACTCAATAACATCCCTACAACTCTTTTATGATATCAACAGTTTGAAAACCTTCATGCATATCATTAGATTGATTTGTCTAGACCATAGCATTAATTGATTGATGTTTTTGTTAGCAAACTGCTAAATGTATCGGGCGAATGAGTTTTTCTAGAGGATGAATTGTTACAATTTGCAAATTGGTCAAGTGCCACATTGCCTGAGAAAAATCTCAAGATTTTATAGTTAAATGAATATGTCGGCGAGATTGCTTGTGATTGAGAGAGTGGGATGCAACAATTTGTGAGTGACCATTGTGGAAATTGTGGGGGAACTTTGAAATTTTAGTGATGTGGTTAGCTAGTGCATGAAGTTTTGTTTAATACATGACAGACAATATTAAACGTGCTTGCAATTAAATAATTTAGGGATGCAGCAAGGATTTGAACTCACATGCAGATGCAGATTTAAAAGCAAGCTAGGGCTTCTTGGTTTTGCTTAAGCAAAGGCTTATGTTCAATTGATTGAGTAAAGCCGAAATTGTAAAAGTGGTGTGTAAGATTAAGCATCATGAAAGGATAATGGGATACGGACATTGCATGATGCAAGGAATTTGTGGATCGACATGCGGGTGAGTTATGAGGGGTAAGTGTGTTTTGGTTAACGTATTGTTTGTATAAGAATGCCATGGTGTGCGTGTTAAAGAATGAGATTAGCTTTCTGGCAATGTTTGTCTGACAATGGTGTCAAATAGAAAGGGGGAGAGGGAATCCTTGTGCCCAAGAACTCAAATAGAAGGGCTTCTTGAGTATGACATGACATTGCTGCCTGAGATGGCGAGAATGTTGGTGCAGGAAGCAATACTAAACAATTGGATGACGAGGGGAATTTAAACATAATCAATGCAATTAAAGATGTCGCTAGAGAATGATTTTGATGTCAATGTCTCAATCTTCATGTAACATACTTAGTGGAGATGTGTTAGTGTTTTTTGTTAATGATGTTTAAGAGGGGAATCAAGGGTTCTTTGAGGACTTAATGGCATGACAATTGAGGGATTCAACAGTTAAACTAGTGCAGATATTTCTTTGTTGAGAAATTTTGTTATGGGAAATGAACTATATTAGTTATTGAATATGTGTGGCCTATAAATAGGTATATATGAGAATACAATGAGAAGACAAATTTGAGAAAGATTGTAGTAATTTATATATAATAGCTTCTTAGTATTAAGAGCCTTAACTTATTTTATTTATTCTATTTAATACATCAACCCTCTCCATTAAGCTAGAGCACATACATCTATTAGCTCAGGCTTGTTACATAAATGAGAAAAAAGTACATATACATATTTTAGCTGTCTTAATAAAATGTCAAAGGCAAAAGATAATCTCTAATGGAATGCACAATATCTCGTATAAAATGATAATTTTTCTAAATATGAATTTTATAAAGATCCAAATAGAGGAACACTCACATCATTTATATGAGATGAAGAAGCCATGATATTGAGTGCGTCAAAGATGAAGAGGAAGAAACAAGATTATTGAATAAATACTATTGAGTTGTAGAGGTAAGAGAGAAGAAGCTTATCGAGTAGTGAATGAAGTCAACATGCTAGGTAGTGAATAAGAAATAATGGATTCATTAGTGCAAATAGGTGTCATAGCAAGCACAATGTTTAGGCTAGAGAGTGTGTCTATGAGGACAAGCAACGATGTTTCTCGTACATAACTAATAGCGACTGCGTGGGCGAGTAGTCGAGCTCATGACTATATTAGTGAGCAAGCGTCATGTTAATAGAAGTGGCTAGGGTATGGTAAAGGAGCTATTGTAGGATTATAGGTTGGATTAAGTTGTTGGGCGACTAAGGTTTTCTTGTTCAAATATGTGTGAGTCCTATAGATTAGCATGCACGGCGATATTATTCTTAATTATAAAGATATTGAATTGCATGTAATTATCTTCCAGTATTATGAGCCCTGCATATATTTTTATGCACCAACAATATGAAATCAAGAACTGTAGCTCTAATGTAAAATTGATAGAGATTGTTGCATTTAAAAAAAAAAATGAAAAGTTGTAAATTTTTTTTTGGGCCTTTTGTTATTTGGCAAAGGAAGAATTCTATATAAAGGGGCTAACTAGAAGATAAGTGATGAAGGGGGGTTTAGGAGAGTTACTGAATTAATATTTCAAAAGAAGAGAGGCATGAGAGAGAGGCGAAATGCGAAAGAAATTCGTACGAGGAAGAGCAATTCGGAGGGAATGCTAGAAAAAAAATTATTTAATTTATCTTTAGTTCTAACTAAAGATTGTTGAAAATGACAAAAGTATTTTTAAACAAAATTAAATTGACAATTAATCTTAATGACAAATGACACTTAAACAACTAGCTTCAATAGAAATAAGGCTAACTCCAAGTAATATTAAATGTTGTTAAAACATAGATCTGCATAGCGACAATCCTGACATTTTGGACCAACATGAATGAGAGCATTGTCTCATCCCCTTGAAGCTCTTGCACTATCCATGTTGCCTTTTGATGCGCTTGAATGATCCTAAAAATTTGATCTAGTTTAGGATACACCGATACGAACATGGAAACACAGAGACATTATACGACACGGATGCGAGACACATTTTTTTAAAAAGACAAGACACTGGTTATATCTTTGACAGAACATTAATATATATATATATATAATATACTAATGCATAAATTTAGTAAACATGAAATCAATTTTACAAAATTCCTGGTATTATAAGGATGAAAGAGCAATGATATTTAAGAATGGAAATTATTAATGAGTATGATATCTATCATAAATCTGAATAACAGGAAAAAAATAAAAAAAATGAAAAATAGTGAGTATAACAATTAAGTAATGAAAATTTAACAAAATTAAATAAATATGATTATCAATAATTTTTAAAATATTGTAAAAAAAAATAAATCTAAGTTATTTGGTATAATATAAATTAAAAAAAAATCTAACATTTTATTATACATTTTCTTACTATTTATAAATTATAAATTTAATTTTAAGAACATGCTTATTTGAATTTTTTTTAAAAAAAATTGGACACGCGATAGGCATGTCCAAATATGTATCGTTCTGACGTGTATCAAGCACTACACTCTTTTTTATAGTGAAGCATCAGTGCATCATAGGACCCAGCCAAGGGTATACATTGATTTGATAATTTAATATTTTATACATTTCAACTAGGAATTATCTTGAATTTTAGGGCTTACTTTACAATAAAGCTATTCTTGAACTAGTATACTCGATGAATAGCTTAATAGTCATTTCAATATGGCTTATTTATTCTCATTTATTTAGATAATTAAAAAAGTTTGGACACTTTTTACAGCTCATCATAGAATTGCACAAGCATAAACATCAACCCACTCACATTTATATCCATGAACATGTTTTTTGTTGTTTAACAATTAGCTTGATTAGAATTTAATAGAATGATTCTTTAATGATGACTTAGCTGTTTATCTAATGACTTATTTTATGTTTTTACATTGATTGAAAAACAAACTTTATTTTACCTTACATTTGAACTTAACAAAAGAGCTGAAATAATAATGTGTGAAATATGCTCTTTTTTTAAAATTATTAATACAGCTGTTTTCTAGTTTTAAGGCTATGCGTTTAATTCATTAAAATTCTCCATATAGTTCAGCTTGTTTAAATCTTTATTATAGCTTAAATCTGAAAGTCTGAACAAGGTTTTAAAATTATTGCCACATTCAAATTTAATTCAAACACAATAAGAAAATAAATAGACAAACTTGAGCAGCCTGGCTCAGTTCATTCAGTACCATTTTTACCCCTCTCGTTGCATTTGTGCCTTGGATGTTATCACTTTTATTTTCTTGTCACCGACATTTCTATCCTTCAGCAGGATTCTGAATTTGTTTGCTTTTCTGAATGCATTTAAATTCTCATTGGCTTAATGCAGGTTAATCCTCACTTCTATGCCTTTAGATGGATAACACTATTGCTGAGTCAAGAGTTCGAATTCTCAGATTGCCTCAGCATATGGGACACCATATTAAGTGATCCAGAAGGTCCCCAGGTATGAATATATAATATACTTGGATACTTGGAGAGCATTGCTATTTGGAAGATTTGCATGCATACCACTCAATTCCGATGTATTTACATATCAAACTCTTGAACTTCAATTTCTTACTTAAATTCCACTTCACCTATGCATAAAAAATTGTATTTCAACTTTTAAATGTTAAATGGTGATATTGTTTTATGTGATGTGAAAGATTTGGGTGGTATAATGTAAAAAAGAAAACTTCAGGTGTCATACATGTAAATATGTAGGAATTGGATGGTATGTCTGTAAATGCCCCTTGCTTTTTTTCCTTGATAAATATTAAGTGTATAAAATTCCGATGCGCCTCTCTCGCAGGAAACCCTATTGAGGATATGCTGTGCCATGTTAATACTCGTGCGGCGGCGTCTTTTAGCAGGTGATTTCACTGCCAATCTAAAGCTGCTGCAACATTACCCAGCAACTAATATTGGGCATCTCCTCTATGTTGCTAATAAGCTGCGGGGTCCTGTGCCAGACTAATTGCTTTACATGCCGTTCTGTTTGATGAGCTTCTAACTTTTATTTGAATTTGTGTTATGTAAATGGTTGGCTATATAAATTTTAAATCACTGTTACCAAGAGGTTTGGTCTCTGGGTGACTGATGAAATCAGAGTTATAGCACGAGCAGTGGTCCATTTAAATTTGTAGAGTATAAGTGTGCCAAATGCCTATTGCTAAGTGTGAATGTGTGGTGCCAAGCTAGCGTGGTAAAGAGGCTTTGATTTGCTGTATTATAGGGTAATATTTAAGCTTTAATTCATTTATCTTATTGAATGACTTTCGATTGAAAATTGCTATTGTTTTGTCTATTTTTCTTTGTTAATCTTTAATCACTACTTTTCTTTAGCAGTGCTTCAGTTCAACAAAACATTGGCCAAAGGCTGTCCTGCAAGTTCCCATTTGGTAACTTCAAAATTGATGCGCTATATTGACATGTTTGATGAAGTAACTTGCTTGAAAATTTTTCTGACAATTTTCTATTGAACTGCCGCATTGTTTGTTGACCGATATTTAACCAAACAAAATAAGCTCTTGCTTGCTTTACGCATAATTTGTTTGGGAAATTTGCATCCATACCGCACAATTCATATTATTTACATGTATAACACCAAAACTTTATATTTGCATTTATAACTCTTTGGTGTGATAAATCTGTGCGAGAAGAGGTGTATTTTTCTTTTAAAAAGTAGGCGATGGTGGTATTTTTGATGTGATATTAAATATTTGAATGTTATGCATGTAAATATGAAAGTTTAGGTGTTAGATATGTAAATACTTAAAGTATTGCCTGTTATGTATTTAAGTGTCACAAACCTTTTTAATCAGCTGCAACATTAAACTGTGATAAACTTTCATGCCAGTTTTTAAGCCTTTATGAGTTTAACTGAAAAGTCACAACTGTTATGACATTTCATTCCACCAAGGAATTTGTTTGTTTTGTTTCAAGTGTTTGAAAGTTGCCACATCCTGTTGTCATTGTTGGATTCAACGGTATTTTTTTATGGATTTGAAATCAAAATCTTAGTTAGTTCTATGTATGAGCTTGAAGCTGTTCCTTGCTGCATACAACAAATTCAAAGGTGTTTGGTTAAATATTATATTTAATAATCTTTTTTTTCCCCCCCTAATTAACAAAAGGGGGCTTCTATGGCTTCAAGTATGAGTAGAATGTAAGAGTTGTAAACCTGCTCTTCTGACTCTTTTTGATTGTCAAACCATATGTTTGCAACCCTTGTTAGAGCCTCTTATTGGTCCGTTCATTTGATAAATGTTCTTCCAGAATTTCTAATATATCGCCGGTCAAGTGTGTAGATAGACTCAGAATGAATCAACCCACTGGTGAAGTCTTGTAAGATTGTATTTCGCCATTTGTCCACACAAGTTGCTCAAAGTATGCTGCTCTGCAACCATCCAATTAAAATTTGAACTTTAGGTATTTGTAAATCTTCCTATTTTTTATTGTCCTCTAGGGAAGCCAGAGATTAATGTTATAAGAGTACATCCGTAGAAGAATCAGAGAAATCAGAGAATTGGACAATAATTTGGGGGAAAAAAAATTGTAAATATGTATAATGTTAAAAAGGTCTTTTTTTTTTTTTTGTTATAATCATCAATAATGTTGAGGTTCTGTTTTCCTAATTTGGGATGAGCTCTTTTGGCTTCTTTCATTTTGATTCTTAATTCCGCAACTGATAATGCATTTTTATTGAAATACTTTGAAGTTTCACATGCAGTGCAATTTCACATTGAATTGTATTTCCTTCTGAACGAACAAAAAAATTTCCAAAATACAGTATATTGGAATGCGAAGCACCAAAGATGCTACCGACCAAACAACCACTAAATCATTAGGCATTCATAGGTAAACTCCTTAAAAATATATGATTATAATGTAATAAATTGATTATATTATTTAATAGTTTAGATGTCTTTAATTAATAATTAATTACGCTGTTTAATAATTTATTCATATTGATTGATAAAATGTAATATGAAATAAAAAGCTAAGTGTTAAAAATACTCCCACATAAATTTTTTCTTCAACTATTTAGATGTTATGTGGCCGCCCGGCCTACTGATTGGGTTCTTCAGGTCCAATCATAAAATCATGAGATCAAAGCCTAGTGAAATCGATTTATGAGTCGACAATTGAATTCGGTCCAAGTTATAAAAAGAAAAGTGGATATACATGATGCGTTAAATCGCAAGAATATGATAAGATGCACCTCGAATAAGCATCAGTAATATCTAATTTTAGTAGAAATTGAAAGCTTCTTTAATCATCCCATAATCAATGCAATGGCTAACAAATCTATCAGAAGCCAGATTTATGTCAGGATATCTCAAACCTTTTTTTTTCATTTCGCGTGCACAAGTACTAAATAAATTCAAACAATTGCTAATTACATTCAAACTTATAAAGAATTACCAGAAATAGCACAAGAAAAAACGAGAAAACAATCACCAGCATGGCTTTGCCATACAACAAAAATTTCTAAAATTCAATTTCACAGAAGACAACCACTTCAGACAGCATCGAACGAATAGTATCAGCGCCAAATAAAAATTAAAAAATTTAAAAATAAACCTATCAAATTATTTGTCTGATAAGAGCTCCAGACAGCATGGAACGAATGGTATCAGCGCCAAATAAAAATTAAAAATTAAAAAATAAACCTATCAAATTATTTGTCTGATAAGAGACATTCTATCGTTTTAATCATCTGATAATGCTCTAAAGCCGTTCAATTTGCTTCGAAGCCTTTTACAATTTCCATAGCTTTAGCAACGGCTGCATCACCACGCTTCAAAATGCCTTCAAGCAGTTCTATCTTTTCCAGCAGCAGACCGGTATTTGAATTAGCGCATAGAATCAGCCTATCAGCTTTCTCTAGAGCAGCACATAACTGCAATATGAACAGCAGAATTAATCAGTTATTATTATTGTTGAATCTTTTTAGGATATAAGGTCCAATATCACTCGTGAATGCATACAACTCGATAAAGATCTTATTTTGGTGGAAGAAAGATAGAAGGAAGAGATGGATCGGAGACTTGAGAAATGATCTCAAGAATCGTGTATTTAACTCGAACCTCATGTAAACCGGAAAAAATAGACCCGAGTTCTCTTGGATACAATGCTTTCATAGAGAGAGAGAGAGAGAGAGAAAGAGAAGTTTCTCGGGAAAAGATCCAAGGTCCCTTCCTCTCATCTTTTTCTTGGGAAAAGATCCAAGGTCCCTTCCTCTCATCTTTTTCCATATTATACCAAAAAGGAAAAATAATAGAAAATACATTTAATATAGCATGACACTCCTTCATGTTGTCTTGCTGAACAGATAACACTTTTAAGAGAGACTGAACTCACATCCTTGAGAGTAATGATGGACATTTATAGCTATTGCCCCTTCTATGTGAACTATGTCACGTCCACAAAAGAGATGAGATTCAACAACTTAGGTAGGTGGGCTCAGTTCAGTAGCTTCAGCGGGCGGGCTCAGTTAGACATATTAGTTTTTGTTGTTTTAGAATACATATAAAAAATATGTATTTAATTAGGATACAGTCATATTCATATATACATTTAGTTCCCTGATTCTCATGGCTCTGTGATCAAACATTGAGAAGAATAAGAGCATGAGGTTCGTTTGATTCTCTATAGTTATGTAGGTCATTGGCTTCTGTTGAGTTGAATGAACCGAAACAAAGATCTTCGAGGCAAGAGCTCAATATAATTCAAGAATAGAACTTAAACTGGGGGCACATCGACCTTTCCTGCGAGGAATTAGATCATTCCTACTCATCCATGAGCCCAAACTTGGGGGCACTTTGTGTTTCGCCTACAAGGAGTAGACTTTTGAGTTACTCTGGTAAGGGAGATCCGCTTTGTTCTCGGGTGCATTGGCTCTCCTATGAGAAAGTGTTATTCTGATTCCATGGTGCAACGTGTTGAGATCTGTTGAATACAAAATTTATGACTGAAGAGGTTAGACCTTTGATTCGATTGCGTGAATATATTTAGTCAGGACATGCACTTGGGTGCTTCGTTGTCACGACATTCGGACTGTTTAAAAAGAAAGTACAAAATAAATTGAGTCATAAATAACATTGATTGCAACAATTATTAGATTTTCATGAATATGCTCCCTTTAAGTTTCAAAAAGTGTTATAAGAGCATTGTGAGTTATGTGTTCACAGATAAGAGAGTGCACTTTAGTTAGTAAACCTGAGGCGTTACTTCTATAATCTTATTTTCATGATAAACAAGATTCGAGTGACTTGAAAAGAATCTCTGTCGCAGAAAGCAATTGGCTATTATGAGCCTAAAAGAAGAATCTTGGAGGAGAACTAATTTTTCTGAGAATCTGGATATTTGGTGAAGGTACCTTCTGCAAGTTTTTCTGTCAAAGTCATAGGTCCTTCGGATTCGTCCACGGAGGAGGTACATAGAACTGGCCTAATAGATGAGGTAACGCAAACTCACTTTGAGTCTCGCTCACCTGGGAAGATTCTCTTGATTTGAATGATCTGGCGGAAAGTCAACCTCCTGATGTGATCAAAGAGCAAGGGGAGCCTCATATGATAGTTTTTGTCAAGCCTGACTCTGATGGTGAGGATGCCACAATTTATCTTTCTAGACTTTTGAATCATTGATTTCATGGCAAGTCCTTATAATTTTTTATGTAAAAATGTAGGTCATACAGACAAGCGACAGTTCACTTTTGGAAGATGCTTATGTTGAGCTCTTATCAATAGGGAAAGAGGGAAAGATTTTCCTAAGACTTGTGTCGTCGGGCGAGATGTCCTGGATCAAGGAAACAATGATCTATCTCTGGAAGGTAATATGATGAGATGTCATCAGTTAGAATTATTTTCTTGTCAAGTGTGATATCATGTTATTTTCAGAGACGCCAAACAATCAAATCATGGAAGGTCCTGGGATGAGTGATGCAGAGGTTAGGACTCTACACGAAGCCACCACTTTTGTCGACATTTAAGTGGCAGATCCGATCGCTAGAGAAACTCTAGCTTCGACTGAAGAAGATTTGTCGAGTTCAAGTCATGTGACTGATATCTCCTTTCACTTAGAAGATTGTGACAGTGTGATGGAAAGGCCAACGTCGATGGAAGGTGAACTCATTGAAACATGAGAGCATATTGCTGATCTGGAAGCTAGGGAACTAGTTACCGATCAGAAGTCCAGGGAGCAGATGGCCGAGTTCGAAAGGAAATTGTCGAAATTAGGCAAAGGCTGAAGATCGTTGAGACTGACTTATCCTTTAGACAACGTCTGGAGCTGGGTAAACCCCAACAGTTTTGTAGCTGGTGGTTGGTCAGTACTTCAGCGTCTTGGGTCAAGAACCATCATATGGAGGACATTAAGAAAATGATTTATTCCATTTTTATGCATATGAATGTTTTCGGTAATTCGGTTGTATCGCTATTTGTATTTTGTGGCTCTACTTCTTGGGATGAAATGTTTTTTCTGGTGTTTACCTCAAAACTGCTTTTTGATGTCTGAGAATTTGTTGCTTTAATATACTCAATAATTTTAACTTTGTCAAATTTCGTATTCGTTCGAATTCTTGTTGTGCGTACTGAGATCAAACGATTGTATTTATATAGCTTTCAAGGAGAAAGAAATAGATCTATTCCTTTTGTTCACTTCTTTCGAGGGCCTTCCCTTCCATCGTATTTCTTATGTAGCAGATCTTCCTTGATAAAGGAGTCTGGCTCAGAGAAGAGAGGCTCATCCTTCTCGTCGGCAAGATATCATAAGGGTCACACATGGACAACAAGTTATTAGCAGAGGCACAATTCAAGTATATTTTTGACAGTGTTGTGACCTTGAGACATGCAATGAAGGAGAAAACTCCCAACACTGTTTATGAGCACGATATCTGCATGTACTTTACGCAATTTCAGTCGACTTTGCGGTTCCCTCTATGCGCAAAACTAGTGCATATCTTTAACTTTTTTAGGCTTATTTTTGCCCATATTAGTCCTAACTTGATTAAGAGTATTATGGAGGTCATAATATATGTATGTGCGGAATCTTTGTTTTGTCACATCTTCCAGTTAAATTCACAATGACGATATGGTAATGTTTTCTTCTCAGCTGATGTTAGGCCTTGCTAACAAATTGCCTATCGATTAGAAGAAGTGGTTATGCTTCGCCCGTAGCATAAGTGGTTGAAACATTTCAACTGAAACATAGCGATCGGTAAGAGAGATGGACAGTCTCTTGCCGCTGACTGTTAAAGAAAAGAAAGGCTTCCAGTCTTTGAAAGTGCAATTGATATCATTTGCTACACTTCACTGTCTTCCTCAACGAGATGTTAAAAGGTAAATATCATTTCCTTTGTATTGAAGTTGGTGATTTTCTTAGCTTTGTTGCTGATTAGTTGGTTGATTACTGCTATCATTCTTATTACTTTGTCACAAATGAGAAGCGTAGATCCTTTAAGTGTTTATCTTACCGGATTGCTGCCACCCTCCCCATGCCTACTGACATCGCAGGGCCTTCGACGCTAGTTTTAAGTGATGTCAAGTAGGAGGAAGTGTTCCACAAGTGCTCCCCCACTGCGAAACACCCTGGGGTGTTGATGATAGGGGGACCCCCTGCAAGTTCTCTAGCAAGTCGGGGCGCGCAGCACTTGTCGAAGGGCAAAAGAAAAAGTAATAATGAGGAAGAGAGATCCCACTGAAACACAACAACTAAGGCTAAGAAGAGTCATATAGTTTCATGTGAGTCCCTTTTGACGTAAATCTCTTTAATTACTCCTGCTATGGAAGTTCGGGTAATGATCACAAATCCAGATAAGAACAGGGTGTTGGTCGATTTGACCAAAAATCGGCTCCCTAATGGATGATACTCCACAATGGCGTTTCAATTAGGCCAGGTAATCAGTTCCAAAAATCTAAGAGAGACGACGCGAGACCTTAAGCCAAAGGACCACCATATCCCCTTGATAGAGAGTACGGCGTCATCCTAGCAATGGGCACAGTTGATGCATCCCACCGTTCTCTCATGAGGGAAAAGAGAGTGTTTGGCTCAATTCGTCCTGAACTGGAGGAGAAAGTTTCTCTTCTAAAGGCTTCTCTTCCTGAACCGTGATCAAATTGAAAGTGCTTAAGAAAGATAAGGTTGATTATGAAAGTGCCATGTCGATTAATGGGAAGGTCTTACTCATGCGACAAATAAATGTGTTGATGTTTGACAAGGAGAGGCTCGAGAAAGACCTACTTGATAGTATAATAACACACAACCTTTAAGCGAGCCGCTAGGATGATTCATGAATTGGATGTGAAGGTGAGAGAAGATCTTTGAACGACAAAAATAGAATTATAGCAGGAGAGGAGGAGATTTAAGGCATTACGAGAAGAGATGGAGGGACTACGAGCTCAAGTGGTTGATCAGAAGAAACAGATGGAAAATATGGGAACTAATTAAGAATTCTTATCCTGCCTTATCACTTCTCAGGCATATCAAGATATCCTGGCGAACAATTATGATCAAGCCATGAAGTCTATCTCAAGGAAGTTGGTGCATGGAGGAGTCCTTACTCCATAGTGGAATGATATCGGCCGTTTTCTTACCTCCTCTTAGAAGCTCTAGAATCAAGATAGTGGAGATGGTACCTCCAACAACCCGTGACTGATTATGCAAGTTGCATTTTTGCAAAATTCGAATTGAATAAAGAAATATCTTGAATAGCAAATGTACTAAATAGAAATTATACCAAAAGAAAAATGCTTTTTTTTATGTTATATGGATTTTCATGGCCTCACATGAGTGGTGCTTGTGTTTTGGGAAATCAAATGTTGTTGTTGTGGTTTTGTAGGCTTCACAGTTTTCTTTTGTTTTTTAATTTTAAATTTGGATTACCACTTTTGCAAATGTTAT